GCGACCATGATGAGGACGATGTAGACCAGCGCCACGGTGCGGCGGGCGGCACGCACGGCCACCTGAGGGTAGGCCGGGTTCCTGGAGCGCAGCGGCCGCCAGACCACGAGCAGCCGCTCCACGGTGAGCGCCGTCTGCAGCCACTGGGACGTCATCGGGAACATCGACACCAGGATCTTGTGGAAGCGACACAGGGCCTCGTTGTTCTGCGGGCAGACGGAGAGAGGGTTAACGTTGTGTGCGGGGGCTAACAGAGTGGGAGCCGCAAACCGTGGCTTCAAGTGAAAATCATATTAGAAGTGAAGAAAAATTCACAATCGATATTACAAACGTTCAAACGACATTTCTAACAGTTGTCAACAATTTCGTTCGTATACATTATTTTCCATTTTACTGCACAGTGCTTACCAGAAACAGGGTGTTGAAGGCGGGATGGTGCGAGCGCCAGTACCCCAGGAAGTAGGTGAAGACGAGCGCGCCCATGTCGGACAGGGACAGCGCGCGCAGGTACACGGCCAAGCTGGTGCCGCGCATGGCTTTGCTGGACCACACCCGGAACGCGAACAAGTTCAGCAGCATGCCTGTCGGGTGCGGCGGCGAGTTAGAGTGGTTACAGAACAGGTATGGCTCTCGCAGCGACACTGTGCCGCACGCAGGACCCAAGCGGATAGGCAACCCGCACGCACGCCATAATGCGGTACACACTGATAAAAAAATGGGGACACCCTTCAACAACACGTTAATGTGCACAACTATCAAAGTGAGAAAAATATGTTTTAAACACACTAATTTGTGCAATTCGCAGCAGTTGGGCAAATTAATGTGTTTGAAAAGTTGAACATTTTATTTTTTACTGTGTCAGAACGAAAGCGGGGCTGGGTCAATCAGCCACCAAGTTTTATTTAATTTATGTCGTTTTCGGGCTTAGATTTGCGCCCACGTCGCTCGCTGCTCCGAGGTTGCGCCGTGAGAATGCTGAGTGGCTCAGCTGAACGCATGGCTGCCGGATGGGTTGCCTATCGCGCCTTGGAGGCAAAGCGTGCAGCGCGGCGCCGGCGCGGCCCGCTGAGCTCAGCTGCTGCAAAGTGTCGTTGCTGCTCTTTTGTTCGGGCTTACCGGTGGCGACGACCCACAGGGTGAAGTAGGCGTAGATGAAGCGGACGAAGGCGACGAAGGGGCGCAGGTCCCGGACCCAGTAGGCGCGCACCTCGCACGGCCAGCTCTCCTCCACCGTGCCGGCGTCCACCCCGCGCAGCGGCAGGAAGTCCAGCACGGACGGCGGGTAGGGGCAGGCGGCACCTGCAAACAAGCACAAAGCAGCGTCACGCCAGAGAACTCCGCAACCTCGGCATGAAGTCGGCAGTTTGGGCGCCTTCGTTCGGAGCTTTTAGTCCTGCTCTAAATACTATAGTTGAACCATTGTTGTCTTTTTAGACAGACCTCAAGGCTGTCTCTACCAGAGGGAAATTAACCCCCCCCCTCCGCCTCGCCCCTTTAAAACAGGGCCACACGGGGCCTCGCGAATGTGGCGGTGGCGCGTCATTGGCAGGGTAGTTTCCCAGGGCAGCCATTGGGAGTAAAAGTGCGTGGCAGAGGTCGAATTTGGTGTATGACCACAGGGGATGAAGTGCTAAATAGCTTCCGGGATGCATTCTCTCAATTCAGCCCCCACAACGAAACGGGCGTCGGGTAAGTCGTCGAACTCCTGGGAAGATGCAGAATGGCGTCACCACCGACGCTAATCTGGACAGGCCGGGGTAAAGGGCGGGGAAGGGACTCGGGTAGCGGTGACGGTCACTGACGTCACGCGGACGTCACGCGGACGTCACGCGGACGTCACGCGGCGCCCTCTGGTTTGTTAAAGGCAAGCAGATCAGCCCCCGCCAAACTGTCATCCATCATGACGTGAAACGGAGCGACAGACCTGCGGCAGAAACGGCCGGAGAAAAGGGGGTGGAGATTTGGAAAGGAGGGGGGAGGGGAGGGGATGAAGGGGAGAGGGGGTAAGAGGGGGAGGAGGGGCTTAACGGATGATCGCCTCATCGGGAGGCGCATTAGCGAATTGTTGACCCTCGTGTTTGCGCGTCGCTGTCGCGATAACGAAATAATAGGAGGGCGGAAAGAATTAGCGACGACATTACAATATTGGTGGCAGATATTCGTGGCCCGGCCCTCGATCCTCGATCCTTTGGACGGCCTCGCCTCGTGCGGCGGCGGCAGACGTGCACGTGTGCGGCGTGCACTCCCCCACCAGCGCCTGCGTTGCGACACCCGCCCCGACAACGACCAGTCTACGACCAGCACGGCGCCGCCAGGCTCCGTTTTTACCATTATCCAACAACTCAACATCAAGGCACCGTCCAGCCAGCGCCTTCGCATTCCGGAAGTAAAGAGGGAAAAAATTATTTTAAAAAAATGAAGGGGGAGGGGAAACCGTGTAGATAAAAAAAAGTTCGACATTATAGGCGCGTGCAGCTGTATCCAGCTGCAGTGGTTTTTACTGCGTGGGCCCCTTGTCTGCACGGTACAGTCCGTCTCAGAGTGAGGTGGTGAGGTTGCTTAGTACCGTCTGTAAAAGCAACAGACCACAGTGTGGCGGGTTTGCCTACCACTGTTCAAAATCCGTAAAAGGCATCTCCCATTGTGAAGTCGCGCAGTTCTGGGGAAAAGTCGCGGGAAAAAGTCCATCGCGGATGTAAATTAAAAGGGACCTCATATGTTTGCAGGGAGACGAAACAGAATAACTTTTGTCACCGTGTCACATGGAGCCACGCGTCGGTACCGAGAGCTACTCCTCTCCTCTGCTTCACGCGGACGGCGACATTCGAAACCACTTTATGGGATGATACGGGTTG